GATAAATGAACATTATACTAACAAATAACTAAATGTTATTTCACCTTAAATCTTTACTCACCCAAGGTAAACCTCCAACTAAAATTAATTCAAACTTTCATTATTATGTTCATAGAATAATATTTATCTTTATAAATATATGAAGAAATAACAACAAGACGAGTAAAAGATATTTTAACAAAAACTATATTATAAATAATCATAAAAATAATTAAATAACACAAACTAGGAACACCTCATTAATTATTATGAGTAAAAATTATCATAGATTAAGCAAATAAATGAGGTTAGGGACACCTCACTAAATAAATACACACAAAATATAACATAATTAAATAAGCAGTAACATATAAAATTTTAAAAAGATAAAGTTATTCTCCCCCTTACCTTAAGATTGCTTTTATGTTTCTTCTTTTTTTTTCTCACAACGTTTTCCCCTGTTCAATGCCTCCCGTTCTCTCTTTCTCTTACAATGTTTTCCCCTGCTATTTATGTTCCGTTCAATGCTTCGTGCTGCTATTTATAGGCCTTCCGTTCAATGCCTCCCTGTTATATCTTATCTACTACAACATTAATTATTTACTGCAACTTTGTAGATAAGTTTTATCCTGTATTTATCTAGTAGATAAGTTTTATCTAGTTAGTACGAGAGAATATTTAGGAGAATATTTATTGTGGCATTTATCTACTTGCAAAATTGAAACATTTATCTACTTGCAGACATTAAACTGTAATAGATAAATTCACAAGATAAATTTTATTTATTGCAACTTTGTAGATAAGTTTTATCATGTATTTATCTAATAGATAAGTTTTATCTGATAAATTTTATTTACTGCAACTTTGTAGATAAGTTTTATCATGTATCTATCTAGTAGATAAGTTTTATCTAGTTAGTACGAGAGAATATTTAGGAGAATATTTACTGTGGTATTTATCTACTTGCAGAATTGAAGCATTTATCTACTTGCAGACATTGAATTGTAATAGATAAATTCAAATTCATACTTGAATACATTGAATTGTAATAGATAAATTCACAAGATAAATTTTATTTACTGCAACTTTGTAGATAAGTTTTATCCTGTATTTATCTAGTAGATAAGTTGCTGACATTGAATTGTAATAGAGAATATTTATTGTGGCATTTATCTACTTGCAAACATTGAATTGTAATAGATAAATTCAAATTCATACTTGCAGACATAAATTTTATTTACCGCAACTTTGTAGATAAGTTTTGTCCTGTATTTATCTAGTAGATAAGTGCATTTATCTACTTGCAGACATTGAATTGTAATAGACCTCATTTCTACTGCAATGCATATCCGATTTGCATTTATCTTTCCATATAATGTATTTAATACATTTATCTTTCCATATAATTTATTTAATTACTATATATACTGCAACATGTGTATATTTATAGATTTTGAATAAAATTTTATTTAATTACTAAAATATCTTAAATACATTGAATTGTAATAGATAAATTCACAAGATAAATTTTATTTACTGCAACTTTGTAGATAAGTTTTATCTTGTATTTATCTAGTAGATAAGTTGCAGACATTGAATTGAAATAGGAGAATATTTACTGTGACATTTATCTACTTGCAGACATTGAATTGTAATAGATAAATTCAAATTCATACTTGCAGACATAAATTTGCAATGCATATCGGATTTACATTTATCTTTCCAGCCAACTCTTAGTTTCTAAGAGTTTCATGATGTCAAATCTTTCAATTACAATTCTCTGTTAGTCTACTTGACTTCTGTACAAAGTAACTCCTAAACAACAAAACTCATTAGGATTCTTAAATCCTTAGAGTCTCACAACAATTGTTGCAACGGAAATTGCAGCAAGACAACAAAAATTGAAATAAAGTGAAGTCGTCACCAATATTTATTTTTAGAAAAAAGTTGGAAAAAACCTCTTGAAGGAAAGGAAGGCCTTTGAAACCAAATTTTGAGTTTGGAATTCATTTACACATAGAGAAAGTATTAACATCCTATGGTGTCCGTTAAAAATGGTTACCTTTAATTAAATGTGCAAAATTAATATTACTTTAAAGTTCTTTGTTTTATCTCTTAAAAAAATAAAATTATTTAGCGTTTTTTTGTAAAGTATTTTATTTTTAAATTTTACATTGAATGAATTGTGTTATTTTAAGAAAAAGGAAGAATTATGATATATATATATATATATATATATATATATATAAATAATTAAAAGTACAAAATTAAGCATGTTTATACTATATGTTTGATTAAGTGTTTAGGGTTATATATATATATATATATATATATATATATATATCCTTTGAGTTGATAAAGGTGAATCCTTACTCCTATCATACTCTCAAGTGCAGGGAAGGAGTCAAACTTACCTAGTTCTTTAGGTAGAAAATATTTGTGAGTTGATATTTTTCATTTTAAGAGTTATTTAGATAATTAAATAAAAAAGGATATCTAAAATGGTCTTCATACTCAACATTAAGTTTTCACAATAGCCAAATAGGAATGAGATCCAAAATGATTGTCACTATTTTTTCCTAATACTTACTTTTAGAACCTACTTAATATTTTTTAGCAAAAATCAATAACAATAATCAAACAAGAAAGAGATCCAAAATGATTATCATGTCCAAATTATTATCATTTAAGAGATTGTTTAATATTTGATATAAAAAGTTTCATGCTAATCAAATAGGAAGAAAATTCAAAATGACTATCACCCTCATTTAAAATATTATTTAATATTTGATACGATTTTCTTAATAAAAAAAAAAAAAGAAATCTAAGATAATTTTTACTCTAATAATTAGATAATGTTACATTAAAGTAATTTTTTTATTTTATTAATCAATTTTTAATTTTTGTAAACACAAATTAAGACATGAATATTTAATTATAAAATAATATAACTATTTTATTTTATTATGTTATAATTATACGTGGTATTAATTATTTTTATAATTAGTTCTTACGTCACTACAACAAAATTTATTATTACTGATAATTATTTAATGGAAATAAATTAATTATCTCTATTTTATTATTTAATAAAAATATTAATGACTAATATATAATGACCACTAAAAATATATTTACATCATATCAAAATTTATTATTAGCGACAATTATTTATTGAGAAAAATTTAAATCCTACATCGACTAGAAATAAGATAATTAAAAAGTATATAAGCAGATGATAACTCTTAGCTAACAAGTTTGGGTTGGGTTAAACCTATAACTTATTAATTATTCTAAGTTGGTAAAATAATTAAAGAATAAGAAAATTAAAAAAATAAGGAAATTAAAGAATATATAAATAGAAGACAAAGGTAATTAAAATAGTACTTGTACTCATTTTACAAGTCGTACATCGACTAGAAATAAGTTAATTAATTAAAGAATATTAAAAATATTAAATACTAGTTAGGATTTCTATGAGTAGAATGAGATAAGAATGAATATTAGTTGGGATGAAGAACCCTCTCAGCACAAAAACTACGATCTCTCTCCTTCTCTTGAATTTGTTACTGTTATCCTTCCCCTTTTATAACTCAACAATTATTTTATTTCTTTTTTTTACTATGAATTTTAATTTTTAATTTTTATATTATGAAATTAGGATTTTTTATATTTTAAAAAATAAAATTAACATAAGACATAACAGTATCTTAGAATTCAATACTAAAAATATTTCTTCAAAAGTGAATAATTGAAAGTACTTAAAAAATTTTAAAAATTATTTTGTACTTGTAACAAATTTCAGATTTTTTCTCTCCTAGTTGATGTTTGTAAATTTCTACTTCAGTACCAATATAAAATGAAGGGACATATTTAGTTATAGGAGAGTAGGGTATCTGTCCCAGAATTTTTTAATCATTTATAAATTTATAAATGAAATATTTTAAATCACAAATTATAAAAAATTTGAAATGTTGTTTAGAATAATTTTTTGCATGTGCAACACTACATAACTCTCTTTGTAAAGAATGTCATTCTTATGAATTTCCAATTGGAGTGATGGATAGATAGATAAATAGATAGACAGATAGATAGGAATGATTCGTTGATTTTAAGAGTAAGTCTATCTAGACTTACTTCATCCAATAACGTATGTTATACATCAAATTTCAATGATTCAACCGTTGAACTTTAAGTTCTTAATGTGTAGATAAGTTTGCAAAATTTTAAAAAATTTGAAAATCACTTTATACTTTATTTTATTAACTTAAATATATAGATCAAGTTTGTAAGTTCTTAAAAAATTTAAAATTTATTTGATACTTCATTTCATTAATTAATTCAACGTATAAAATACTTTTATGATTATTCATCCATTTAAATTAATGAAAAAAGTATCTAATAATTTTTATATCTTTAAAAAATTTGAAAAATCTGTATATTAAAAAATTTATTAAATTCAAGTGTTAAATCATTAAAATTTAATGTAGAATATGAGTTATTAAACAAAATAAGAATATATAAACTTACTCTTAAAATAAATAAATTCCTTATATATATACTTTGTTCTATCCATTATATGTAATACATAAGAACAAAATTTAAATACTTATTAAAAATACAAAAAGGGTTAGGGAGAAAGTAACAACAAAGAAAAAGAAAAAACTGAATAAAATATACCAAGTCCAGGTATAAATAGAGAAGACTAAGGATTAAAAATGTTGGTCAGAAACAAGCAATACAAAACGCTACTATTGTAGAAAAATGCCAGTACTATCGTAGTATTTCACTTGGTGCAAAGGAAATTACCGGTGTAGCCTTACACGTGACGCACACATTAGGCCACGTATATAGATTGAAATGATGACAGCAAAAATAAAGTTACTTTGACTAATTTTTTTATACTGTTGACCACTAATGCATGATAAATAAGTTTAAAACAACTCTATTTTGATAAATAATTTTAAAATGTGCTCCCCTTTAATCAATTAAATATAGCATGTAGCATGGCACAAAATTAAAAACCAATGCCAAATTGGTAAACAAGAAGCCATAGTGTGAGTCCTTATTGGTTAGCTGAGACCAGGTTGAATCATTGGGAAAAAGGACCAATCCTTGGAGGCCCCTCCCTCCTTCCCTGCAACTTTCTCATTAGCCCACCAATCAGCAACTACATTATCTCTTCCATCTGCATTATCAAAATTGAATTCTTTAGCAGAAGAAAGAGTCAAGGACTGATCCTTCTCATTAACTGTTGCCTTATCTCCACCCAAAGTGGTTTCCAGTGGTTGATCATTGGGATTTTCAGCAAGGACTTGTTTGTCATCACGCTCTGTTTCTACAGAATTTTCTTCTTTGTCAGCTGTTGCTGCATCATCTTTCAGTTTTGACAGGACCTTAGTCCATGCTGATGCTGCAGGCTTGTTCTCAAGAGATTTCAATACTTTTTGGGAGGATAATTCAAATGAAACCCTGTGGTTAATACTAATCTCACTCAGGCGATTATTGCTTGGATGTGGAGACATTTTGATCTCAGAAACCCAATGATTTGAAAGAAAACCAGTTTGACTTGTGGACCTTGCAGCATCTGGGGTCAAAGATCCAGAACCTTGGTTTGATTTTTGCTTTTCATAAGCAGATAGTTTATCTAAGTTGAGAAGCTTGGGAGGGTCTGTTCTTTGGAAATCAAGGATATGGGAGAAAGTGGCATTAAATTCAGAGTCAGGGAGTGGAGATGAGGTGCCGGAAGCTGAGATGGCAGATCTTGGTGATATCAGTTGACCAACAGGACTTCCGGGATGAAACTGATAGGATTGGAAGTCATAGTGAGATATTTGGAACCTCTGAAAGGTTTCACCGTTCCTATTGGGGTCTAGTAGCTGAGCAAATGGAACCTCGGGCGAAGAAGGCGTGGTCATGTGGACGGATTCGGGCGGTGGAGTGAAAGGAGCAGTGGAGGAAGCTGAGAAAACAGGTGGTGAGACTAATTGAGTTTCATGAGCATAAGGGCCAATGGCAAAGATTGAGGCAGGGCCACCAGGAGAGTACATGCTGGCAGACACACAAGTGTGAGATAATTTACCAACTGGTGATTGTGCAGTTGAAGGAGGTTCTGATTGAAAGAAAGATACAGGTGACGAAGGAGGCGCAACGAAGGGAAGTGTTATACTAGGCGCTTGAGTTGAACTAACAGCTGCAGCAGGATCAGCTCCATTGGGGATTGTTTCTGGAACAAGCACAGCATGCCCTATGCGCTTTCGGTTTTTCTGATATCCAAAACACCCAATTTTGCTCAACCAGTTTCCCCATCTTTTCTTCTGCAAGCAAAAGTAGCTGACTTAAGTTTCAGCCATAGAAGACACTACAACTGTTCCCTTGATTATTATTGTTGTAAGCAAACTGAAATACAATTCAGACCTTAATCATAATATTGATACCCCCCATATTGAATAAGAAACAAACACAGTAGTTTTTACTCCTTGAGCATCCCTTTTTTCAGTGAAAAACGTAAGAAACCAAATAATAGTCATACATGGCAGGAATCAGGACAAACACTATAACTTCTTTGGAAATTGATCAAATGAGTAAAAATTCTTTATAAGTATTAGGAATCAGATCCTTTCCACTTTGTTATTAGTCCTTGTTAAGTTCTGGGATTCATTAATCTGATTACAAAAAGTGAGATTCAATAGCCAAAAACAAGAGAAGGCCTATTTTGTTATTTTCACTTAACTGTGCATATAGCGCTACATGTTTTTCACTAAATTAATTCAGTAAGTAAAAGACTCTCTCCAAAAAGAAGACTTGCATAATTAAAAAAGAAAAATTATATTCTCATTTTATTACTACTAAGTACTAACTCATCAAGAAAACGACTGATATCAACTAAAAGCAGAAACAATGGAAAACCGATGAGTTCGGACTTTACACGCTATGCTATTACCTAAGGCAAAGACCAAGCACAGGAAATTCCTATTTATTTTTTCCATGAACTTGCCATCTTTTGAAAACGAAAAGTTTGCTACTTTATTTGCTCGCGCACAAAGGGAAAAAAGAAAACGAAAAGATCTATTCTTTTCGGAAAAGAGATCAATCAATTATATAATAAACTCAACCAAACAGTGATCACGAAATGAATTGCATATCAAAAACCAAGAAAAAGAACCACAAGGCTAAAGGGTATAATCTAATGCTTCAAAGGATCAAACCCCCCGAAAAAAAAAGCATTTTTTTTCTTGCAAAACTGGTGTGAAATAAGGGAGTTAAGTAACTATGGTTATGTGATTATACCTGGGAAGGAGGTTGAATAACGCGATTCTGGGCAGAGGCTATGGCAAAAGCAGCAGCGTTTATAGTTTCGAAAGTGTTGTTAACGGCTCTGGCATCATTCCCATTAGTTCGTGTCATGTTTGTGTTGGGCGATGAAAATAATCTTGAGTGGTGAAAGAGAAAAGTGATGAGAGGGGAAGGGGATTAGCATAAAGAAGTTGGAGAATGAAAGTGCGAGAGAGAATGAAATCTGAGTTCGTTTATGCGTGCTGTGCTATGCCGTGAGTTGCGTTGGCGTGTATTTGTGTCGTGTGTGAGTACAACGCTGCTTGGCTTTGAGTTGAGGTCAAACACGGCAATGACTTGCTCCTCATGTGATTAACGAAGACTCGGTTAGCCTACCCTTGTCCTTGCTTTTTTATTTATGCTTTATGTAATTATCATTTCATTTACCCAACTACCCTTCCTCCTTGTCCTACACTAAGCAACCCCATACATACTATATAGTAAACTTACAAATTAACTCTTAATATTTTTTTATTACCAATTAATATTCTTCATCCAACACCTTTTTTTTACATTCTCTTTCAAAAATTAACTCTTAATATATTTATATAGAAATCATTTAACAAAATTATAATACAATTTAATTGTGTATCAACTAATGAAAAATAATTGTAGGAAGATTGGTGTGTTGTTTAGTTAATAAATGTGGTGTTGGGAAGAGACAGAGAGGGGTAATGATATATTTAAAATAAATAGATAAATACTAGTGTTGTATTTTAATAAAATTTTATATTTTTCAGTAAACTAAATATATATATATATATATATATATATAAAATATATATGATATACAAATAAACAACAATGTTTTCAAGAATTTTTCTTCTCCAACAGTTAGAATTTATTTTTAGTAAGAAATTTTTTAAAATTTTTTAATCACTTATTTATTTTTAAATTAAATGATATATTTTAAATATAGTATTAATAACTAAAAAAATTGGAACCAGCATATAAATTATTTATGATGCATTTAAAATATAATTTATATGTTTAAAATAATTATTTATTATATACTTTATTGTACATTTTTCTTATAAAATAAACATTTAATGTACTAAAATATTAATATATTTTTATGGTCCTTAATTAAGTACTACAACAATTTAAATATAAAATACGCTTAACATGCTTTTAGATGCAATTTTTACTAATACCATGTAAGGTGACACTCATAATTTTTTTTTTTTAGTTTCTTAAAATAAATCTTATTTATTTATCTTAAAACAATTTTTAAGAACTAAAAAAATTATTTTATATTTTAAAATGATAAAATAAAAAAAATTATTTTACAGAAATAAAATAAAATTTTACTCGTTTTATAAAAAAAATGAAAAATAATATTTTACAAATTTTAAATGAAAAAAAAAATAATAGACAAAAAATTAAAATTAGCTTATTAAATATATAATAAAAACATATTAAAGTCTAAAAATAATAATATTAATATTTAGCAGAACTAATTTTAACTCGTTAAAATACAGAGAATTTTTTTTTCAAATAACTAAGGACATCTCCAATGGAAGGAACTCATTTGAGTTGCTTCATGTATTGAAAAATGAAAAAAGTGATCCCAAGTGTGTCATGTCAGTATTAAGCAACTCAAACACAAATTTACTCCAATGGTAAGAAACTTTAAGAAATTCAACTTTTAGAATTTTTTTCTAATCATTTATGAATTAATTTTAAATTTTTATTAAAAAGGGTAATTGTACTACAATGAAAGAAAATAAATTATGAGAAAAAATACATAATAAATAGATATTAGAAATAAAATAAAATAATAATAAATACATAGACATTATACGAAATTAATTTTCATCATTATTATTTCCGAAACGTTCTCAAATATGTTCAATAAGATTTGCTTGAAATCTAGTAAAAAATAGTTGCTTGAGGAAGTAACTCTCTCTCTTCTTCAAGCAACTCATGTTACCACGTCAGAGTCCTCTAATAGTAAGAAACCCGGACTTGAGTTACTTCATTGGACAAGCAACTCCCGTTAGAGTTGCTCCAAATTTTAAGTTTTCTAACAATTTCATTGTACATTGTGCCATGTGGGATATCAAAATGCAGGAAAAGAAAATGAAAGTGCCCTGTGGTCTTCTTGTCATCATCACGTGTGAACTGTGAAGTCAGCAAGTCTACCCTTTTAGTTATTTTAACAAGGCACGTGTAACTCTAAGTCCCACACTTCATTCACCAATCTTTTATCGAATTGTTTATACTATAATAATATCATTAATGAACAATCATGACACCAAACCTACCCATAATCAATATTTTATCAGTCACTTAAAAATAAAATACTTAAACAGTATCATTAAACATTATTGTAAATAATGTATAAAAATTATATTATTAATATACTATATATCGGTCTCTTTTAATAAATTTCTTAAAAAAACACTTATAATATATATATATATATATATAAAATTATAGGTTAAAATTAATTTATATATAAATTAATTTTTAAAAAGGAAAATTTTACTTCAATTTCCTATAACTGGTTGGTACTTTTATATAATTAAAATTAAAATTTTACCTTAATAATATATATTTATATTTAATATAAAATTTATTTGATATATATTATCTAAATAAAATTTTAATTTTGATTAAAAAGTAATCATATAATTATCTGCACCTAATAAATTATATATAAATTTTACATTTTTTATATATATAAATAGTTTTAATATTAACTTCTTTAAAAACTTTATTTTTTAACTTGTCCATTTTTATTTGATCTATTGAAATCAAACTGAGGCTTAAATGTCTACAACAACTCACACACATGTCGAAGCAATTGAATTAATTTTTTTTTAAAACTAGTATATAAACTGATTTAATTTATCTTTTTTACTGTTTGTGTAATGTGAAACAGATTTTATGAAACAATCACTTTTTGCCTGTAACAAACAACAACTTGGAGTGATAATAAACTTTAATTATTTTGTTTTGGTCCACGTGGGGTTTGTGAATATGAAGGTTGAGAGTGAGACACGTGCATGATAAAATATAGTAGCATTTTAAGCACGCTTCTCACACCATCTTGATGGCACAAAAGGTCGCTGTAGTTCTTCTGTCACGTGCCTTGCTAAATGCCAACGGTGGAGCCGCAACATGCCACATAAGTCGCCCAACTCATCAATTTTTCGCACATATAAAAACGGCCTCACCAAACACTGCGCTAGCTACGTAGTAGTAGTAGTAGTACGTGAGAAAGCCATAATCACGTTGAAGCATGAACAAAACGCAGAAACGAAAAGCGGGGAGGAAGAAGTTCCAGGAGACACGTCACCCAGTTTACAAAGGAGTGAGGCAGAGGAACGGGAAGTGGGTGTGCGAGCTGCGACAGCCCAACCACAAAAACGCGCGCGTCTGGCTCGGAACCTTCACGCGCCCCGACATGGCTGCGCTCGCCTACGACGTTGCCGCGCTCGCCTTCAAGGGCGACAGCGCTTCCTTGAACTTCCCGCATGCGGCAACCTCGTTGCCGCGCCTCAACTCGCGCACGTCTTCCGTCAGGGCCATTCAGAATGCGGCCACTCAGGCGGCCGAGAGCCATTTTTTGATGCCCACCGAGGTTTCCTCCCAGGAAGCTTCTGGAAGCTTCTTCTGGGACGAGGAGGAGGTGTTTAACTTGCCGGAGCTGTTGAACAGCATGGCCGAGGCGTTGATCATGACGCCACCGGCTTTGCAGAATGGCTTCAATTGGGTTGCTGGGGAAAGTGAAACCACTGTGGATTTGACTCTATGGGGAAACTGAACTTTAATTAGGTAAACCACTAATAAACCCTAAATCTAAAAGTACGCACACTCACACGCCAATCACGTTCCACTCCAGACAGATTAATTTCTATACTTTCATACTGTATCAAGCATTCAAGTGTATTATTATATACATGTTTACTGTAAACTCTCTTATAAGGTGATGTAATATTTACGGTAAAAAAAGTGTGATCTCCATGCCAACTACTGGAGGGAACTTCAATTCTGTTGCAAAATATGTATTTAAGATGTAGTTCATTATATAAACTGGAAGAATGAGACACTCTGTATTTATTTAAATTTGAAACAATATAATAAAAGTTATGGAATGGATGATTTGTAGTGTGAGAGAGGGATTTGATGGTAGTATGAGGATAAAAATGTCTCAAAAAGGTGTACTCTAGAATGAGTGTATCGCTACTAAATACAGTATTGTTATAATTGTAAATTAATAGCAAATTTAGAAGTCAATTAGCTTTTGTTGTATTGTTGAGGATTTTGTAAAAAAATAAAATATAAATAATAATATGTACCACAAATTATTTGTATATATATATATATATATGATTTAATATATATGTTTTTGAGAGGTGGGCCAATAATATAGTTAAAACTTAGAACTTAGCATATGGAAGGGGCGAGTGAGGTTTGGAGTTTAGATAAAGTCATCGTCTCTATCACTTGGTCTTGTCCACTGTGTCTCAAATTAAACAAGACGAAGAACTTCCTCGCCTTTCAGTACCGTGGACCACAAAAGGTAGTACAATGGAAATCGGTTCTTCCCTTCCTTTAACTATCCAAATTATGTTCTGTTCTCTTTAATCAAATCAAATAAGGAAGTTTTTTTTTAATCTTAATTTTTTTTTTCTTTTTGGCTCTTCCCCTCCTTTAAGACAAGGGATGTCCACAAGTTAGATTGTTTTGAAGAAAAAATATCTACCTAATTAAAATGAATTGATTAGTTTAGTTTGGATTTAGAAAACTCTTGAATAGTGCCGACAAGCTAATTTTATGCTTGAATTCTACGCTAATATAATTTTTTTTTTTTTTACTTTTATATTTTTTAAATTACAAAATTTGTTTATTAAAGTCTAAAAGGGGGTCTTCTCGACACATTTGTTTATATCATGCTACTCTTAACAGTTAACACACCTCATTAATTAGTTAAATTACAAAAGAATAATGACATCAAAATTTGTTAAGTAATATTCACAGAAATTTATAATTTTTCATAAAATGTATTATTATAGATAATCTATTGAGAAGTTCCTATCAACTACTAGGCACTTATAAATTTGCTATCGATTTATACAAATTTAGTGTGATCAAAAAGTCTTATAAAACAGACGACATTTGGAGCATGCCAAATTCTGTAACCGCACGAACAAAAGATTTTTGCGGAGTGTTTATTTTCAACGTAAATGAATTTTTATTTTTTGTTAATTTTATATACGTTTTTTAAACATTGATTCCATAGTTCTACTAAGTACGTTTTTGTTGTTATTTATATCTCATATAATGTAACTAGATCTCCCAATTCTCCACATTATATCTCATAGTTACACTACAATATTTCACATTTTTTTAGCAATATTTGTTTATTTATATTTTTAAAATATTATTATAAATTAAATTAATAGATTATTATAACTTTTTTTTTATCTTAATATTATTCTTTATAATTATTTTTTAAAATTAAATCTCACATCGAGTAAAAATAACATATAAAAAATATATTTAGATAATATCTAATTGTTTTTCAAAACTAAAGTCTCACCTTAAATAAAAGAATAATAGATAAAAAAAAAAGTATATATAGCTATAGGGTGACATTTAAAATAAATAAATTTTGATATGGGACACACATTTGGTATAGTAAGTAACTTATGATATCTCCACCTATAAAAAAAGAAGAAGCATATCTTCAACCTTAAAAAACTTGTAAGAAAAATTATTAAATTAATATTAATTATTGTTTTATAAAGTTTACAAAAAACATAGCAAAATTATTAAAATATTGCAAAAAACTGATCTGAACTGTTGGAAAGTTAACTGTATTGAACTATAAAACTAAACTGAATTATAAAAATTGAACTATTTTTATAAAAGGATAAAAATTAAATGTGTCTAACATGTTATGTCTTAATGGATTAACTCGATAGTATAATAATCAAAACCTTAGAAAAAAAGTGATAAAAAAATTGTATCAATTTTATCAAACTTAACGGATCATTTGAGCTATGTTGGACTACTTATTTTTAGGCTTAAAATTCACTAATTTTGTTTGACTTAATTTTTATTTATTTTTCTTTGAAAAATTTAAATAAAATGGAAAATAAAGTAAAGTTGGCAAATGTGTCCTATTTTTGATAGATTAATGAGTCAAAATTGTTCAATTCAAAATATCATAACAGTTCAGTGCAGTTTAAATTGCAGTTAAGTTCAAGTTTTTATAATATAGTTAAGATCAATTCAATGACACAAAAAAATAGTTCAGTTCAGTTCGTCTGAACTAATATTTAGTTTAGTTTAGTTCGTCTGAACTAATATTAAGTTTAGTGTAATTTTTATAAGTTCAGTTCAGTTCAGTTCATTTTGCTCATCCCTAGTATTATATGTAAAAATTGAATTTGCATCTGATTAATGAGTAGCTATGACTGTGATTGTATGATTTGTGTGTGTGTTACATAACTGTTATTTCTACATCTGAAACCGAGTGAGATGTTTCTCACTCCCTTGTTGTTCTTTGTATGTGTTTAAATTGTGTTGCAGGTGTTCATCAGCATGATGATGTTGGTGATGAAGCTTAGGCTTCAGTTGGATATGCTCTGATAGAATATGTGACATCGGGGCATAGTTAGGCTTAGTTTAGGATTTCATTATTGTATTTGTTTTAGAAAGACTCATGTTTCTTTTTGCTATAAATTCTGCATTTGACCATGATTTAAGTTTATGAATGTGAATTCTCTACTCTTATGTTAATGGAACTATTGTTTTAATTCTAAAGATTTTATTTAACTCAAGAATATGTTTTTTTTAATTATAATTTTTCTATATGTATGTTGGGGTAGAGGGTGTCACACACCTTATACATAGTACATATACAATATGTGCTCAATCCAAATGCTTGCATATCCTTGTACATAAAAAGTTGTTTAGAGACCTTTCAAACATATCATTGGGTTCATTGACCACTCAAAGAAAAAGAAAGAAAATTCCTTCATTTTGTTGGTCCAACCATAACCGAGACCTAAATTCTATCAACTCAAAAAAAAAGAAAAAATGTTCTAGGTCAGGTGTTTCAATTTTGAAGATAATATTATTTCTATGTGTTCATAATAATCAAACTATAGCAAAGCAAACATATACCTGCACAAGAAATTAAGTTAAACTCCAAATGCAAAATATGGAAAGGAGTCTATAACTTCTCCCATACTTGCCACTCCACCAGAGTAGGCAAATGAAGAAGGTAAATAGGAAAATAAAATTAAACCTTGTTCATTGATGAGCTTTTCAATTACGAAATGGGTCACTTAAAAAATATTTATTATTTTGACTTAAAATACTATTAATCTAGTATGGAGTACAACATTACATTTCTCGGTTTCTTCCCCTTAAAAGCACTATTGTGTTGTAAGAAATGAGTCCATGAGTCCATGATAGCACCATTGAATTTAAGTTATAATATAATTTATATATCAAAGTATTTATTTATTATAAATTTTAATTTTATAAAATAAAAATTTATTTTATATATTGTGAAAGTTAAAATAATAGTTTTTAATATTTTAAATCACATTTGAAATTAATTACAAATTTCCAGTTTGCCCTCTTTAGTCTTTAATATATTTTTCTTTGTAGACTTCTTATTCCAATTTTTTTTTTTACAAAGGCTAATAACTTATTAAAATTGACCTTTAATCATTTTAAATATTTAATCTCACAGTATTAAAGTTTGCAAACAAACAAAAAAAAAAACTTCTAGTGTTTTTCTAAACATCAAATCTTTAAGCAAAATATTTTAAGGTTAAAGCTCCTACTAACTTTACTAGTCACTTGATTTAAGTGTTCTAACTCGTCTAATTAAATAAATATCACTCAAAAATAAATTTCCCATAGGATAGTCTCATTGTTTATTTTCGGATTAGTGTACCCAATTTATGTATTTCTTCCGTCTAGTTGACACTTGTGTACAAGGTTTGTCCTCTTTTAATGTTCATTATTTTTCTTATTAAAAATATGCTATTTTAAGTCCACCAATCACATGCTCCCAAAAAGCCAAAGAGACAAGGATATCAATTTAATGTTTTTTTTTTGGATCCCACATGCTAAGCAATCCACCATCAATCACTATCATCACAAGGTCCAGTGCTGGATTGGCCCACAACCCTTAATCAACCTTGAACATCTCGGGCCTTGTTTCTTAATCAAGCCCACTACGTTCATCACATGATATCCACTCCTCAACACTCCCACCGTCCACAAAAAGGATAATTTGGAGCCCATCTCCATAAGTGTCAATCAATTCCTAATTGTCACACCTGTCTATTCATTGATAACGTAGTGCTATATGTTTTTTTATTCATTGGAAACGTCGTGATATGTAGCACAAATTATTTTAATCATGTGTAGTATTATTTTTTTTCTTCTTAAATAAGCCCCTCAACGTCTATGACAGCGTGAAAATTATGCCAAGTTTTAATATATTGACATGACATTGAACTAGCGGTGAGCATAAAACCGAGACCCGAACCGAATCCGGAAAACCCGAAAAAAAATATTACTTTTGGGTGGGTTCGGGCGGGTTTTACGGGTAAATCGGGTTAAAATTTTGATTTTATACGGGTTATATTGGGCGGATTTGGTTTTAAATTTTTAAACCCGCTAAAAACTGAATCCAACCGAAAATGAGATAAATTTATATTTTTATTACTTTTGTATAACTAAACAACAATGGTCCAAATTTAAAAGTCTTTATTTCAAGTATAATATATACATCAATTTATAACTTTTTTCTTTCTTTTTTTCATAATCTAGATATTTCTTTTTTCTTCTCCTTCCTCATTCAATTTCTCAACACACTAGTCTATTTTTAGATTTTTCTTTTTGTTTCTTTCTTTATATATCTTTCTTTTCCATCTTCCTATCTCTATTTTGAGTATAACTTGTGCGACAGTAGTTTCTTATAGATTTTGTAATCTAACTTTAGATTTTTTTTGCATGTAACAATTATAGATTTTGTTATCTTTTGTTTTTGCTTCTTTAGTTTGTAAATGTTTCATCTACAAATCTACTTACATCATCCATTGTTACCTTCATTCTATTTTTGTACACTGTTTTAAAAATATTTTTTTACCGTTTTAAGCTTCACCTTCGTTAAAATAACTTGGTCCACAAAAAATCTCAAACCCGATTGTACCCACCCGCACAAATCCGAATCCGTTGCAAC